AATCTTATTTTAGATGACAATATTAATCACATAGAGAGAAATATTAAATACTTGACAAAAAGAAACCACTATACAGGTAGTTTGAAGCCATAGAATAGTTTTAATGAATATAATAATGTTCCTAAAAAAAAAAAAGCTTTGGGAATATTTTGACTAATCTAAAATCAAAAACATCAGTGATTTGTTTGCAAGTGAATTGAGCTCAAATATAACGTTGTAGGGGGCGCGGTGGTTAAGTTGTTAAGCGTTTGACCTGGGGTCCTGGGCTCGAATCTCAATGAAGACTGGTTGGTCGTTGTGCGTGCCTGAATGAAACCCTGCTCGTTAACCATCGTTCAAAGAAACAGATGAACTTAACATAAACGGCACTATAGATCGCAAGGTCTAAAAGGGAAACAATTTTTACACTGTGCTGAGATTATTCATTGAAGAAAAGGTTGCTAGTCAAAGATTTGTAACTTATTTTAACTGAAAAAAAAGTTGTTTTTTTTAAATAGTCTTCATGAAAACAATATTTTATAGATATACTTATAAAGCATAACAATTTATGTTTCTTGGAGTAAGTTTTTGCATTTCTGCTTGAGCAGCTCAAATAGTTTTATTTTCAAATTAAAGCTGATTTTCTAATTACCAAAAACTTTCCCGTCTCTTGTGTTCTAATCTTTTAGAGCTATAAATGTGTTGATTGAAACGTATTGAATTTTAAAGCATTCTGAAGGATCAATTTTTGAGTTTTCTAATTTTCTAAAATTAATGATGAAACAAAAATTCCATGCATAGTTTAAAGAGACGAACAAGAGAAATGTTTTCAAAAACTTAAAATGCAAATTAGAAGCTTCATTTCAAAAACACGTAGATCTGAGTCCTAATACAAGTCTGACTAAAGAGAACAGAGTGGATTTAAATACAAACATTGAATACATATATTTTTCTTTTTTTTAAAACTTAAAATCCACCATTCTCTCAATCTCTCTTTCTCTCTCTTTTTTTTTCTCTCTCTCTCTTTCTTTCTCTTTCTGTTTCTTTCTCCCTCTATCTCTCTCCTTCTCTCTGTCTCCCTCTCTCTCTCTTTCACTCTCTCTTTATCTCTCTCTCTCTATATATATATCTGTCTCTTTCTATCTCCCTCTCTCTTTCACTCTGTCCCTCTCTTTCTTTCTCTCCTTCTCTTTCTCTCTCTGTATTTTTCTCTCTCTGTCTCTCCTCTGACTCTCTCCCTCTCTTCTTCTCTCTCTTCCACTCTTCTTCACCCTCTTTCTCTCTGTCTCATTCTCTCTCTTTCTCTCCAATTCTCCCTCTTTACCTCTCCTATTTCACAATGATTAGAAGAGCGCTAAAAAGAACAAAGAAGAAATAAACAAGTTTAAGCAGATACTACTGAATGTCTTATCTTCGAGTTCTATGAAATACAAAACACAAGATACTACTGAATGTCTTATCTTCGAGTTCTATGAAATACAAAACACAAGATACTACTGAATGTCTTATCTTCGAGTTCTATGAAATACAAAACACAAGATACTACTGAATGTCTTATCTTCGAGTTCTATGAAATACAAAACACAAGATACTACTGAATGTCTTATCTTCGAGTTCTATGAAATACAAAACACAAGATACTACTGAATGTCTTATCTTCGAGTTCTATGAAATACAAAACACAAGATACTACTGAATGTCTTATCTTCGAGTTCTATGAAATACAAAACACAAGATACTACTGAATGTCTTATCTTCGAGTTCTATGAAATACAAAACACAAGATACTACTGAATGTCTTATCTTCGAGTTCTATGAAATACAAAACACAAGATACTACTGAATGTCTTATCTTCGAGTTCTATGAAATACAAAATACAATGGAGTATCCACGTTTTGGTCAAGGAAATGATGTCATGCAGTCAGGAAATAGCCTCAAGATTTGTGGCTGACATTATCATGCTTTCTTGGCTTTAGTTTTTTTACAAGGCGATATATCAATAGAGGAAGGGCTGCTGCTGTTATCACATTGAAAAGCAAATAGATTGGTTCACCATTAGTTTAATTATTTTTTTTGTGTGGTTGAGAGTGTCCTGGTTCCTGTGAGTACAAAAATACGAAATCAAACATTTTGTAACGTTTCTGACCTCTACTATTATCTGTGGAAAAACAAGTAATTATTCATCATGGTTTAAACTAGAAAGATTACAGTATGACAACAAGTACATGCATTCCATTGAACATCGCTTGATGTAGGTAATGGAAAGATTCTGATAGCCTTCTGTCAAACATGAAGATTTTATAACGATAAACAATGCCAAGGACTCATCACTGAGCTAACTTATTTCCAACTAAATTGTAACATGAAAAACAATACCTCCATTAAACAACTAAAAATAAAATAAAATAGAAAAAAAAAATAGCTCAAATTGGGGATCGAACCATTAGCTTCTTGAACGCACGGTTCTACCAATTAGGCCAGTAGGAATAGTATAATAATACAATTATCTATTGGTATGTTTATTACAAATATCTTATTTAGAATCTAGACGTAATCTCTATTAGATGTACGTACAAATAGAAGCAAAGCTTACATAATCTATTCATAAACTTTAAGCAGCTTTAAATTTAATAACAACTCAGTTATCGGTTCACTACGGCTGACTGCGCCATATTTTTTTTTTCAATTTGCAGCCAAATTTTCTTTTTTTTTTTTCCTTTTATACTTAAAAAAAAAAATAGTGTTCTTCGTGTGGCCAATAAGCTAGTAATTCTTTTCTCAGCGATATTCATCCACAGTTAAATTTCTAGAAAAATCGTGGGAGCCGTTTTTGATATCTGTTTTCCAGGTTCCATGTTCCACAAATTTCTGACTTGAATGAGGTATTGTAAAAAAATATAGCTTAACAACATTTGCATTATTCTGTACACCGCATACGCCAAAAATAAAAACTAGCTATTTATAGTCTTTTCGCCATAGATGAAAATCTCTAAAAACGTGAATAACTTATCATGCTTAAACAATGCTCTTATTTTCCCTATATTGTTTTACAAATACATCTAAGAAGATTTTAAAACACATCAGCTCACTGGGCACTTTGAGTGGTCTGTCCTAATTGACATCTGTTACATCCCACCAGTCTCATTGGTGTCAGAAGCTGGCGTTAACCGCTCCAGGGTCTACAGGACTTATCATACGCCTCTAGTGCGACCTTTATCTCTCAAGGATGCTCCTCTTTCTTTTGAGAAGGCTCAGATCAATGGCCAACACAAGAGAGAGCTAGCCCCCCAGCTCAAATTATGGACTAGAAAATTTACCGGAGTGAAAGAGAGATGAAAGAAAGAAGAGATAACATGTAGCGGTCGATGACTGGGAGGAAATAAAAGAGAATGTCGAGAAAAAAAATGTAAAGCAATATTGTAAAGGGGGGGGGGGAACAAAAAGGAAGTTGTTCTCCGAGTAAAACGTAATATTTGAAAATGGAAAATTTTCTGTAGAAAGATGTCAGAACTGGAGCTAGGGTTATGTCTTCTTAGTAAATTGATCGTCATATAAAAGAGTTAAACCCTTATCGTGGGAAATAGCTTTCAGTAGGTACTACCTAGTAGATAATGCTGAATTGGTAATCCTAGCTTGTAAATCCTAAATAAGGAATTATAAATAGGTAAATCTGAAATAATCCTTAATATCCAACTTGATAGAATACTACAAGTAGGTACTTAGGTGTAGGCAGGTTATCATCTTTTAGTAAAGTAGCTTAATTAATTCTGTTCTATATCCCATTGTAAGCATAATTTAACTTTAGACAGCCAGGCGTTGCTAAGCTGTTTTGGCTGGTTGCTGTCGTGTTATTTTAATGACAACTAGATGTTTCTCGAACCACTTAAGTGTTACTCATTTTTAGACACCTTGCGGTTCATTAACTCTAGGCGTCATCTTTTGTGACTTATCTCTAGACAACTTGATGTGACTTATCTTTAGACAACTTGGTGTGACTTTAACTCTAGACAACTTGGTGTGTCTTTAACTCTAGACAACCTGGTGTGACTTTAACTCTAGACAACCTGGTGTGACTTTAACTCTAGACAACCTGGTGTGACTTTAACTCTAGACAACTTGGTGTGTCTTTAACTCTAGACAACCTGGTGTGACTTTAACTCTAGACAACCTGGTGTGACTTTAACTCTAGACAACCTGGTGTGACTTTAACTCTAGACAACTTGGTGTGTCTTTAACTCTAAACACCCTGGTGTGACTTTAACTCTAGACAACCTGGTGTGACTTTAACTCTAGACAACTTGGTGTGTCTTTAACTCTAGACAACCTGGTGTGACTTTAACTCTAGACAACCTGGTGTGACTTTAACTCTAGACAACTTGGTGTGTCTTTAACTCTAAACAACTTGGTGTGTCTTTAACTCTAGACAACCTGGTGTGACTTTAACTCTAGACAACTTGGTGTGTCTAAACTCTTTGCATATTAAGATCTTTGTACTCTAGGGTTTGTCTTATCTTCAGTTTCTACAAACTCCACAAGTACCGTTCTCTCAGCTCACACATTGACACAGACACTACAAACTCCACAAGTACCATTCTCTCAGCTCACACATTGACACAGACACTACAGACTCCACAAGTACCATTCTCTCAGCTCACACATTGACACAGACACTACAGACTCCACAAGTACCATTCTCTCAGCTCACACATTGACACAGACACTACAAACTCCACAAGTACCATTCTCTCAGCTCACACATTGACACAGACACTACAAACTCCACAAGTACCATTCTCTCAGCTCACACATTGACACAGACACTACAAACTCCACAAGTACCATTCTCTCAGCTCACACATTGACACAGACACTACAAACTCCACAAGTACCATTCTCTCAGCTCACACATTGACACAGACACTACAAACTCCACAAGTACCATTCTCTCAGCTCACACATTGACACAGACACTACAGAAATCCCTCTGACAATGTTCTCATTAACAACAACAACAAATGAGATTTATGTTTACTTTGTACCATAGACTGGTGGTTTTTATTGAGTTCAATTTCTTGTCAAAAAATCATCGGAAATTACAATTCAATATTGCGGATCATACAAATCAACACAATGTACAGTCTATCCTTAGGTCAATATATCAATATGTAAAAGTCATGACTTAGTAACTCTTTGTAAATATGAAGCTGTATATCGGACACACTTGAGCTGGGTTTAAAGCATTCTTCATTCTGTGTTTATATTTTATATCACACTATTTGCATTTTAAAAATGCATAATATATTTGGCTAATGTATGTACATAAACATAAATAGAATAGGTTCCTCTAGAAATGTGTACATAGACGATGGGGACATTAAATATTTTACACTGTACGAAATTATTGTATATAAAAACTTGTACAGAAAAAAAGAGACAGAAACAGAGAAAGAGTGGAAGAGAGTAATAGAGAGAGAAACAAAAAGAGAGAGAGAAAGAAGGAAATACATAGAGAGAAAGAAGGAAATACATAGAGAGAAAGAGAGAGAGAATGATAAAAGAGAGAAATAGAAAGAGAGAGAGAGAGGGATAAGAGAGAGAAATAGAAAAAGAGAGAGAACAGAGAGACAGAGAGAGAAGGGGAGTGTGTGTGGAGGATAGCAGAAAAGTATTGAGTAAATAAAGATATATAGAGATGGTTAAAATAGAAGAGACAGGAAGACAGATGTAGAGAGACAGAGAGAGGCAGAGAGAAAGAGAGAGAGGCAGAAAGAGAGAAATTATTAGGTGCTTTTGCATACCTTTAGGAAAGTAAATATTTCCAAATCGAATGAGATGCATAAAGTCTGAGCACATTTCAAGACATATTTCACAAGTCACAACATTTTCAATGGTATATACAATAGTCGATCAATATTAGTGTTTAGGAGACTGCATGGTATGGTACTCACAAGTAGATCCCACGAAGAAAATGGATTAAGATCTAATTTTACATTTAAAAAAATTTGAGACATGAGTAAACAAACTAAATGAAATAAAAGGAAAATACTAAATGATTGGAGGATGTATCAGGTATATCAAATACTAAATGATCTTGCAATAACAAAACACAAACACATGAATGTTCTAATGTATGCATTATTTGTATAATAACAAGAATAATGAAATGATTTATTAGATGGTTGTTGAAATTACAATCTATTAAATGCAGATGTACTATGCACGTATGGAGTATAGACGAATCAAGACTCTAAGCATCTATAACATTTCACCAGATTTTTGAAGGACACAATGTAATCACGTGACATTTATTTTGTTCTGCAAAAAAAAAGCACGAGAGAGCATCAATTTTTGTCTATGAAAACAACGAACAGCAACCAATAACCTGATAGCACACACTGGTAGGACAGAACTGATCGGACATATTGGCTAGGAAACAGCTGGTACGGACACAGAAGGTAGGACACTGTAGTGTTGACCCACACTGATTACTGGCATCGTATCCTTATTTACTTACAGTGAAATATACACAGCAATACACAGCACCCAATACATTCATCAGCATTGCAGTAACTATTGACAGTAGGTGAGTAAGAAGAGTCTCTTGTGAATCTTTTCCTCTTCAAAACGACTACTTTACTTTCAGACCGAGAAATCTTCAGTTTTAACTTTACCCCATGGAGCCGAAACTTCCAGAGTTGCACCTTCTATTCGCGTGTACTATGATGGTTGCACTTTGGTCAAATAGTCTTGCAGTTCTCGGATGATCTTGTCCTGGTCAACAAACTCCAGGATGTGCGGGGCGTTGATCAGAATCCCAGCAGTGCCGGAGAATGTGATGAGCAAAAATATGATGAGCAGCAATCTGTCCAGCACCTTGGCCACATACTTCCATTCCTCTAGCATCTGAGGACACACACACAAGGATTTTCATTTCAAGAAGTCAGTAAAATATCTACAATACTTGATTTCAAAATGAAGAAAATGGCTACAAACCGGAAACTGGAAAGCTAAAAATAGCTCGTTACAGTTTTAACACCACGAGGAATATGGATACGAGTTAACCTGGACAGAAACGTATAAAAAGGGGGTTTAGCAGCAGAATGATTGAGTCACGTGGTCAGTTAAATGCTTACTGTGATTGATTACTATAAACAATTTATATTACAGTGATGCTTTAAACATTTTTTCTACAATTCAAATTTGTCTTAATTAAGTGTTTCATTTTCAAAATTGGGTTTGTGTCCCGTGAATATTATATGGCGGATCCCCGAGTACTCTGTATGTTATGTCACGAGATTTACAGCTACAATAACTACAATGTAATATCCATGCCACATTAGTGCCTACAGAGATAGATATTTAATCTCTTGACACAAGTCCTAATGTCTTTATAAGACTCAAGACTAAACGCGATAAAATTAATAAATATTTACTCCAGAGTGATTTGGTCATTATTTCGTTTCTGCTATGTATTTCCAAGGAACATTTTATTTTTGAAACTACTAGTGCATTGACAGTAAGAAATTAGCAATTCAAATGCTGGATTTGTTCATCTTAGATGTAGATTTTCATTAACAAGAAATGTGTCTGTCACTTTTTAATTTTAAAAAATTGCTAATTATGATATTTTTATTCTAAGTTGATGTTCTTGCAGACACCTCTCTTATTTTATTTATTCTACAGATATCTTTATCTTTACATTTAAATTACTAAACAGACTTTTAGGAGAGAATGTTTAGTTGTGGATTATCAGTAGTACAAATATATCTATTAACAAACTACAAGATATATCAATTCCAGCCTTTGAAACAGTAATTATTGTTGGCACTTACCATGACGTGGTTTTGTTCTAATTTCAGATGAGTGTAGATAAAGTTCACTGCATCCACAGTTCTACGTATTTCAGGGGTCATCACAAACTTTCTGCGCCTAGGGCTGGGCCCTTCTTGACCAATCGGAACTTCTGTTTGCCTGCTGGCAGCTTCATCAGATAAGCTGGGATTGGATTGGCTTTCACCCAACTGTGTTATTTGATTGGGCGAGGAGCTTCTATCCGCGAGCTCCATAGACTCCTCGTCATATCTGGCGAGTTGATTGTTGATGCACTCGGGGGGATCAAACTCGGGCTCAGCCATGGCTTTCCAGCGTTTTTCAAAGTCTGGCCTGGACATGAGCAGATATTTAGGAAGCTCTTGCAGGAAGACGACCCTGACCCAAGGCGGCATGGTATGATTGTGTGGGTTGACCCAGTTCCGGTTGATGACGATGACAGTGGCGAAGATGGCAATAAAGTTCATCAAGAATGTGAATAAAAGATATTTGGCGATCAGAGGGATGGTCAGAGAGGGCGGGAGTATTTTGGAGACCAGAAGAAGAAACACTACCAGGGCGAACAGGACAGATATACAGAGAGCGATTTTCTGGCCACGATGCGCAGGGAGGACAAACACACAGACGGTGACGAACGAGATGAGCACGCAGGGAATGATCAGGTTGACGGTATAGAACAGAGTCTTTCTCCTCAGGATAAACTCGAACACGATCTGCTCGCGAACATCTCCAGTGATATCAGTCACGTTGACGATTTTCCCGGGACAGTCAATGATGTCCCAGCTGCCGCTCTTTAAGTAATCTGCAAGCACCACCTTGTCTCGATTGTCCCGGAAAGTGTACTTCAGAGATTTTCCTTTGTGGCTCCAGGACCCGAACTTCATCTCGCAGGTTTGTTGGTCGAAAGGAAAATACTTGACGTCGATCGAGCAAGAGCTGTGATATATAGCAGGAGGGATCCAGTTGATTTCAGCATTGCTGTACAAAACACAGTTCGATTTGAAGGTGACTTCAAAGTTTCCATCAGCGCTGAAAAGCAGATGTGAAATAATTTATTGACAATGCTTCGAAATAAAATGTATAGACAACAGAATTTTTTTTTATGCTTAACAATTTATGCTAAATATATATAATGTTTAATAAGCATTGAAAGAGCTCAGACATAAAAGAAAGGGTATTCATTTCCCAAATACAAAGAACTTCCTGGATCAGAGCTGCTGGTCTGATAGCTGAGAGTAGACCGTCCCATGGATCAAGACAAGAAATACTAGATTTAGTTCGTTCTTTCAGTACTGCCACAGTGACAGAATCAATAGTGTGAAAGAGTGACCGAATCAATCAAGTGTGACAGAGTGACAGAGTCAAACAAGTGTGACAGAGACTAACCTTCTTCACACTCATCCATTTTCTGACTTGATCTCACACTTTGTAAGACAATGTATGTATGATATGTATGTATGTCTGTGTGTGCTTGGGTGTGTGTGTATGGAGCTCTCTTTAGAGAGCTTCGTTTTGAAATATTATTTTGGGTTAGGTTGGAGCCTATATACTTATAAAGTGTTGGTTTTACTGACATTTGTACAAGTGAATCTTGGAGCCTATATACTTATAAAGTGTTTGTTTTACTGAAATTTGTACAAGTGAGTCTTGATTGACACGGAAAGAGTTACATTTAAAGTTAATGTATGAAATTCATTGCAGTCGTGATTTCTGTCAATGTTATACTTACTTGATAGTTAGCATAACTCTAATGAAGGGACTTACTTGTTGAATATAACAATACACACTAATAAAGGGGCTTATTTGAAGTTAATTGTTAGTTAGAACAAAAGACACACTAATAAAGGGCTTACATTAAAACAAAGACATATTAATAAAGGGGCTTACGTTAGAACAAAGACACTAAAAAAGGGGCTTACTTTTTTTACTTGTTAGAAAACATTAATAAAAGGGCTTACTTGTTGAATAGTACAAAGTCAGGTACCCAAACCTTGTCTTGGGGTATACGTATGGAGCCTATGTTTCCAAACAATGCTGGATCCCATGAGAGTTGGTAGTCTGTCCAGTACTGCAGGTTGAACACAAAGAACACATCAGAGGAATAGAAAAGGAAAGAGAGAGTATAGAAAGAGAGAGGTATAAAAAGACTGGGAGAGAGAAAGACAAGAGATATACAAAGAGAAAGAAAAACATAAAAATGGTTTTGCAAGAAAGGCTCACGTTAAACAGAGGTTGCGGACACATCTAGAAAGACAAGGACACATCTAGAAAGACAAGGACACATCTAGAAAGACAAGGACACATCTAAAAGGACAAGGACACATATCGATAGAAAATAAAAATAGCGCCAAAGAATAAAGAATGCTCGTTTAATTGATGAAACTTGTCCGTGATTTTAGAATATGGAGACTTACCAGCTGCAGCCAAACATTTGTCTTCATGACCTGGTTCACTTCATCCTGAAACAAGTTTCTAGAAGCATCAGAACATGTGAAGAGGTCTTAACGTTCAGTGAAACAAAATGACAAAGAAAAAAAAAAAAAAAGAAAAAAAAAAAAAAGAAAAAAAAAAACATCAACA